TAGTTATTCATAGGTGATCTTAGTTATTCATAGGTGATCTTAGTTATTCATAGGTGATGGTAGTTCTTTTACTAATGCCGCTCAGGTCTCGAAGTGAGAACCTGGGGTAACATTGTGAAAGGAATGACCCTAACGCAAGACGCTCTAAGCCCTCTGTCACACCTGTCTAAGGGCTGCTGGAGGGCGCCGTGGCTATGCGGCAGCACCAGTGCTGGGAAAGCGCCCGCAGTTTAGCAAGCTGCGGGAGATGTTAGAGACGTCTCCTTCCCTGGAGGAGTTAGGAGAAAACTCTGCTCCTCCAAGCTCTTGTGTAGGCCTGATGGCTATCAGGGAGGCCCACAGACATCCCGGGGATTAACTGTCTCTATGCGATGCTGTGCTTCAGCGGTCACGTTCCATGTCCACTCTCACGTTCCGCTTCTGCACCTGGTTCCTTTGTTCTTAGAAGAGATAATCAGTAAAAGTAATAGAAATCTTAATGTCTTTGTTCTTTCTTGACAAGTACGGAAAAGTGCTGACGCATTATGCTCCTTACCTCATCTCAACTACTAGAAAGTCTTGGGCCCCTACCTAGATGACATGTGATGTACTTGATTCGATGTACTTGACCCTATCACTGACCACCAATGCCACACCCTACCTGCCCCACCCCAGCTTTGTACTCAATAAAAGTCAGAGCGTCCAGGCAGTCGGGGCCGCTGCCGGATTCCATGCTTTGGTTGGCAGTGGACCCCCGGGCCCAAACTCTGTTTTCTCCTTCTTGGGGTCTTGTGTCTTTTATTTCCACAGTTTCTCATCTCCACACCTGTAGCGAGGGGCTCACAGGACCCTGTAGGGCTGGACTCTGCACTAGGATGTTCCTAGGATGTGATTTTTTTTTGAGACAGAGTCTTGCTCTGTCACCTAGGCTGGAGTGAGGTGGCACCATCTCGGCTCACTGCAGCCTCCAGCTCCCAGGTTCAAGTGATCTCCCGCCTCAGCCACCCGCTCGCATGTAGTGGATGCTAAAGTGGAACACATGCGTGCTATAGAGAAGGCTTTGACACGTTCATTCATTCTTCCAACAGGTATCCATGGAGGTTTGCCACGAGCTGGGCTCTGGGGAGATAACAGGGAACATCACTTGAACTTGGAGCAGTGAGTTGACATCCTTGCACTGAATGACATGTGTTCCTCCAAAGCTGACCTGTCCCCCGCACAGCCACTATGAGCTCTGGGGCTCCCCCTGTCCCAGCTCCTGCACCAAGCCTGCCCTGCCGAACAGCTGCCTGATGCTATGCCAGCACAGCTGCCAGTATGACCCAGGCTTTGTGCTCAGTGGCACAGACTGTGTGCCCCCCATCCAGTATGGCTGCTCCATGGGGGGCAGGTACTACCTGGCCGGGAAGGTCTTCTGGGCTGGGGAGCACTGTGAGCAATTCTGCCACTGCCAAGCTTCCACCCACGCCATGTACTGCTCCGCCTCCTCCTGTGGGCCAGGGCAGAGATGTGGGACCCTCAGTGACATCTTTGGGTGCCACCCTCTCTCCCTTGGCACCTGCCAGGCAGCTGGGCACTCACATATCATCACTTCTGATGGGAAAAGTGTTGAGTTCTTGGGTACCTGCGTGTCCGTCTGTGCCGAATCCTGTGGCTCCTCCAGCTCATCTCCGTTCTTCAGGGTACAGCTGGGAAAAGGGCACAGACCCAGCAGCCCCCCATGCCCGTCTCAGAGGTGTCTGCCCAGGTTAATTGGACCTAGGTCCACCTGCGGAGGGACAGCCCAGGCATGGCTCAGGGAAGCACCAGCTTTGGGGACCTGTGGGTTCTAGGAACCCTAACCCTTCACCCAAACCCACAGCCCCAAGGGAAAAATGTATTCTGCCTCTGTTATTTCCACATTTTATCTCTCTTCTCTGATTACACACCCATTTTTATCTATATCCATCAGAGGCATTCAGTTAAAATAACAGAAACCCTCTCAGACCTACTTAAGAAAAAAGAAGACTTATGGTTTACACCATAGTTATTGGGCAAGTGTGGCCTGCAGGTCCT